AGTTTTTTCCCAACACCAAATCGTTATTTTCAACACCTCGACACGTATTTCGATCACCAAGTGATCATCTTCAAAGAGGAAGATTAAAACTAGAAACTAATGCGAGCTAATCCTATTTATGCTATATAGGTATCCCAATAACTTCTCACCGGTAGAACCTTCGCCAATCAGGATCAGGCGAAAACGACCTTTGTCGACTTAATTGAATCCCGAGCAGAAAATTTTCAGTTTGACGAAATTGATCGACTTGTTTCACGTTGGCAAAATTGCACTTACTCCGATTGAATTGAATGAGTAATAACTGGGAGAAAATTTCCTACTTTCCCTTCCTTTCAGATAAAAGAAAATGTGGAAATCTTATGAAGGAAGGAAGGGAGCAATCAATTTCAAAAAATCAACTCCGTACAAAGATGTGAAGATCATGCGAAGGAGTAGCATTCTGACCGTGTTCCATGTAATGCTTCCTGTGAATGATATTTGATTCAACTCCATAACGAATGTTTGAAATAGGAATTGAATAGAGAAAAGTGTTTTTTGGATAATTCAGTGTTCATACAAAAGTAGCCATTTCAAAAGTATTTTTCGCTTGTGTAATTCAACGTTATATGAAAGTAGCTGTTTCCCAGAAAATAAGCTGTAAAAATATGGCCCTTTCAATATTAACTGAGATATAACAGTTTGAAGTTGACTCGAATAAACTGACAACGAGTTTTGTAAAAACCTAGTGGTTTTTGTATTCTGTGTGGAATGACAATGCAATATTTTTGAAAATGTTTGAAATAGGAATTGAATAGAGAAAAGTGTTTTTGTATAATTCAGTGTTCATACAAAAGTAGCCATTTCAAAAGTATTTTTCGCTTGTGTAATTCAATGTTTATATGAAATTAGCTGTTTCCCAGAAAATAAGCTATAAAAATATGGTCCTTTCAATATTAACTGAGATATAACAGTTTGAAGTTGACTCGAATAAAACGACAACAAGTTTTGTAAAAACCTAGTGGTTTTTGTATTCTGTGTGGAATGAAAGATTCACACCGAACATTTCTTTAATTCATTATTTATTCATCTGAAATCCCGTCGAAGCCTGTAGTTTCATGATGTACATGCGTATGTTTCATTTTTTTTAGCAAAACAGAAATATCTCGTGGACATTTGATTTTGATATAGGAAATATGAAAATTATTCAAAATCTTTCAGAATTTCAAAATTAAAACTACTAAAATGGGCCAAAAGTCAGTTTTTTGAGAGTTCATCAACCCCCACATATTATAATTTTTAAGGGANTAAAACTACTAAAATGGGCCAAAAGTCAGTTTTGGCTCATTTTAGTCATCGATTCCAGACTTCTTGTTACTCTTACAAGATGACAGGATAATGAAATGAAGTAATCCAGTGGACCAAGATGGGCAACACTTGGTTGCCAAAAGAAATACAAATGCTCGGAGTCACCAGAAGCCCGCAGCACATTTGTGTTTTCAGATAGATTTTATGTATACAAGGAAACTATTGAAATTACCACGGAGGCAGCTCTAGCTAGGCTGAGTTGCATCAGGGTCCAGTAAATCATACGAATATGATGCTTATTGAGCATCTCGCTACTGAGTGAGGAGGTAAGCTCTACTGGCTAAGTAAAAAAACAGCACGGGAATTGGATCAGGTATGCAGTTGGAGACAAGATAACGAGAACTTTTTTCTGTTCAAGCTTTAGAGACTTCATTGGCTCTTCTTCAGAAACTGAAAAGTGAAGTTATGCATGAGGAATACTGTTTTTTTTAACTGTTACATGTAGGGGTGAATGAACACTCATGAAATTTAATCACTTGATGAACATGAAAACATCGTAAGAAACGGTGGATGACTCTAATAAAATTAGAGTTGTTTTATACTAATTCTTTTAAATATACACATTTTGAGAAGTACATGTCCAAGTCCCCAAGTCCACCAAGACTTGGACATGTCCTTTTCACAATGTGTATATTTTAAAACAAATCTAATGTTAGTAGAGTCAGCCACCGTTTTTAACAATGTTTTTATGTTTATCAAGTGATTGCCTTTTTTGAGAGTTCATCAACCCCCACATATTATAGTTTTTAAGGGACACAGTATTTCTCATGCTAGTTTCTCATGTATAACGTCACCTTTCAGTTCCCGAAGAAGAGCAAAAGAAGTCTGAGAAACTTGAACAGAACATTTAGGGAATTCTGTGTTAGACCGTTCCGTTTTATAGTTGAATCATTCGAAATATCAATAGCTATCATTATAAATGATAACTTAACAACAATAGGAACTCATCTATGATTTTTCAGCAGTATTATTCACTGCTCTCAAAGAAATAACTACTTTTAGTCTCCATAAAAGCAACGTCTCCGTCCCACATTAGAAACGAGTCTCTAGAGGGAGTTCCCATCAATTTCAAATATAGAAAATAAATTTGAGCTCTTGACAGACACAAAATCACTAAATAATTTTCTTGAAACGATAAAAGAGGCAATTCTATCATAAGTTTGATAAATAAGTGTAAAGAATGGTAGTAGGTTATGAGTTCCTACTTGAGTACTTACCATACAAAAAATCAGACAGTTCATTTTTCGATGGAATATATCTCTTTCCAGAATCGTACACAAACTCTCTCTTCATGAGTTTGCTACTATGTTACCTTTGGTTTGTTCATTAACTTCGTTATCAAATAGTAATAAAATGAAGATTTTTTTTGACGAGTAACAAAGATGATGACTGACTTTCCTCTTGGCTGTTTTGGCTATCACTTCATCAACAGTTTCATATTCCTCAAGCATTAATCTTGATTTGTTGTCTTCACCGCCAGACTACATCCAAGTCATGGTTTCGCATATATGACCACAATAAATAAACAAACGTTTTGAAGTGCTTCTTTATCGTGTGTTAGGAATCACACCTTGAAAGGTAAAACCTCGTTAATCCTTAGCTTGCACAATTTTCGACTTCTGAGGGTTGTCGTTCGTAGGGGTGCGACAGCTGGTTAACGGAAAAACCGAGTTTTTAAACAGATCTTTGGCATTCATTTTGAACTGGGATTGCAAGAAAAATATTTACAATGTGGAAATAACACTAGCCGTCTACCTAAATATCACTCCAGGAGGTTTGATTTCAATGATTTTCTTATTGTCTCCTCCTTGAAAACAAAAAAAAAATCAATGTCACGTACAATGTTTTTTTTTGCAGTTCTTCGTCAACAAATCTTTTATTGCTGTATTACACGGTATCAGTGTATGCAGCACATTTGGAAACCAGTTCATAAACGTAATGGCGGCAAGCAAAAAATATTAATTCGCTGTCTAGTTTTTCTTACAAAAATACACAAAATAGATGCAGTTGTATCACAGCATATTATCTGTACTTTGTCATCAAGGTTGCAATCATAAAGTGCGTTGGTTACAGATTTAGCTTGATCTTGATCAGATTGGGTACAGACAGAAGTTATAATTTTTCTCCAAACGAAATGAGAATTGGTAAGTCATTCTCTCCTAGAACTCCTCACGTTCAGTTCAGAGGTGATAATTGTCCATCCCAGTGAACGGTAACCATTACAGTCAGATAATTCTGAAAATCTGATTTAATAGTTTCCGCTCTATCTTTCCTAGTCTGTGTACGAGTGCGTTGAATGGAAAAATTTGTTTCCCGAAATATCATCACAGCTGTGGTCTCCTGTTTCTAGTAAAGCTTGAAGTATATAAACAAAATCCCTTTTACTTGTTTGACATCTATCTGAAACTGCAACTAACTTAGGCGTAATAAAGTATTTTCTATTTCTTCAACAGTGGTCTCAGAACTCACTGTTTAAGTGGTGTATGGTAAGGGTTCTTCGAGGCTTTCACCAGAGCTAGTAGGTCTATCGTCATCTAACATTTGTGTAAAATCTTGAGTACCTAGTAGACGATGACAATAAACTCCCGAAACGCATTTGCTCGTGTCTTTTTTTTTTCTCCTTTCAGTTTTTTCTGAGTTTTACCACTTGTCATTAGCTAACTTATAACTGCATTTGTAGCTAAGGTAACTAACGTTACTGCAGTAACGTTAGTTACGAATAATACAAACTAATCGGCTTCGTCAAGAGGGTTTATTTGGTCGAGTGCGAATAGGTGTGAGCCACAATAAACCCTTGTGAGTTACGGTGGAGTGTAGAATAGACCCACTCACTTTGGACCTAACCTAACCTAGTTACGAATGCAAGTTTGATTTCCCATTTTTAATGATGATCTCCTACCACGTATATCCATCAATTTATCTTTTGATTTTCTCCGTCTTGTCCTTTCTTTTTTTTTAGCTTATTTCTTGTCTTCACTCGCCATACATCTTCAACGGCCTGATTATCATTGTTATTTGTGAAAACAACTTATTTTCTTTCATTTCCATCCATTCCAAGCATCAGCGTGTGCTATGTCGAATGAATTTCCTAAATTTTTCTGCAACTGTGCCTCACGGCGCTTGTAAATATCTTTTTTTTCTGCAACTTCCTCAAAGCATGATGAAGATCCACACGTTTTTATAGAGTTAGGTACAGCTCTGAAAGGGATTCTAGCGTTTTCCCATAATATAATGCAGTCTCGAATGAGAAGATTTACTCTTTCACTAACAGTCATTTCAACTTTGCTGAAATTGAAAAGAGTACACGATAACTTTGAGCCTATTATTTGGTGATTTACGTCTCCAGCTAGAAAAATAGTATTATTGTTTTTTAATTCCAATGCTATTTTCTTAATGTGAAATAATAAGACGTATTCACGAGGAAAACTAGAAACAAATAACAAATACCGCGCCGCTATTTCCACGCAACTTGTAAGAACATGATTCAATGCAAGTCGGCACGGGTTATCGTACTCGAAATATGGTAAAATTTCATTTCCGAGTGTATCAGGATTAAATTAATAAAACTAAAACATATTCGTGAGAAAATTGAAAATTTAAAAAGTAAGGTTAACCCTAATATAAATGGAAATATTAGACCAAACATCAATACTCACACTGGAATTTTCAGTTTCTAACGAGCTATCGTTGTCTGTGCTCAAATTTTGTTCTCTTCTCAATTTCCGAATAGCTCTTCTCTTAGCCACCTTTGGACAACATCTGCACAAGCAACAATTGGCATAAATGAACTTGAAAGATCTTGCCATGATGTCACCAATGTTAGAGAGGTAAAGAAGAAATAGAGGCATTCCAATGATGGCGTAAATTATAGTAACCATTTTTCCCACTCTGGTATGTGTGAAAATGTTGCCATAACCTGTGAAAGAATATTTGTGAGAAAAATTATTGCAGTTCTATACAGGTATTATTTTGTGCAACTGAAAACAATGTTTTCTGATGTTGTTGTTCTAACGCCTGGAAAAAAAATCCTATGAATACAATCCGAAAATGCAATATTTCCAAAATAAGCCCATCTCGAACGGGCTTGAACATTCAACCTACGCAGTAGGTTGAATGGACTGACGCCCATCAGCCCATCCACTGGCTAATACCACGAACGGCGTTGGATTATATGCGACAGGCGTCAGTGCAAGAACCTTCATAGAAAATTTCCTGCATATGTAATCGGCAATATAACTGAAAGAGTCGACCTTCAATTTTGCAACGGGCAAAATGTCACTCCATATAGTGGACGAGGTACTAAACAACTGCATATCCGAAATTTTTCCGATTCCTCTGAATAAGAAAGAAAAACTTTGTTACTAGTCAGTGGGCTATGCTTGAAGACAAGTAGTTACCAAATCTAAAGAAATGAACTCTAAATGTCCAAGCTCGTCTCGGATATACCTAGAGAGTAGGTTGAATGGACTGACGCCCATCAGAAAACAACTACTCCACTGGCTAATACCACGAACGGCGTTGGATTATATCCGACAGGCGTCAGTACAGGAATCTTCACAGAAAATTTCCTGCATATGTAATTGGCAATACAATTGAATGAGTCGACCTTCACATTTAAAGTTCATTTCTTTAGATTTATTTACAACCTGTCTTCAAGCATAGCCTGACTGATAAACAAGTTTTTCTTCCTTATTCACAGGAAATCAATTTTGTGTTGACCGATAATGAAATTTTCATTTCTTGATATAATTTCTCCAACTCCTGTGAATGGTATTTGATTTTATTCCATAACAACTGTTTGAAATACAAACATGTATCAACATGAAAGGTTCTATTGTACGCGGAAGAATCTTCGAGACAGGGACTATGTCCTTAAAATGATAACCAATAATATCGGCAAGGAAATAATGAGATGAGAAGATATTTTTCTGAAAAGGATTGGTAGTGAAATCTAGGAGGAAAATTCCTAACTTGAACTCTCAAACTATTTGTTGAAATCTCAAGCAATTTTCATTCAAATAGTAATCATATATACACAGCATATAATGAAGATGAAAAGTATAATAACGAACTCTATTTTTTCGACGACAACTGAAATATTGTTATTTATCACCGCTCTTCACCACTTCCCGAAGCATATATTAGACCATTTCGTTTAAAAAGTTTTTTCCTATCTTTATCATCTTCCGGCAGCTGAAGCTCTAAAAATGAGAGGCATCTCGCATATTTAATTACAGAGGAGTAATTATTGAAATATCACGACTTATTCAATGAAATATTGTCAAATTTTGTATCACTATAATGAATAACTTTCTTTTGGACCATGAACAAATTTTAATGCGATTCAACAAAAGTCAAATTGAAAGAAAAGAATGGATACATGATAGTTCAATCAATTCCAATAATACAAAAGAACAAGTAGAATAAACATTTGCACAATGACCCAAAACAACGATGGTTTGAAAAGCCAACATAAACTTCAACGCAAATAACTGAACGAGACAATTGAACGAACAAAAAAAAAATTTTACATAAACAAAATCAATGAACTGAAGAATAATTCGAACAAATTGTAGCAAGCTGTTAGAATGATATATAAACTTAAATAATGTAAAACGATGGAAGAGATTTAAACAATGACAAAGAAATTTCCGAATATTTTTTTCACATTCTCAAGCATTGGTGGAAAGTTGGCTGAGACGATAGAAAATATAATTCGTAGTCTAATTGGGTCCTGAAATCGTATAGAATTGGTCGACTTCCTATCCAAAACAATTACTCATATTACAAAAAAAGCCATAAATTCGTTCATCAAGCCGAAGCTTTCGATACGGTTTCATATAAGAAACTGATGAAGGTAATAGAGAGTATCGGATTCAGGGAGACATCATCGAAATAATCGAATATCTATCTCTCTAATGGAAAATAATGCGACAAAATGAATGAAATACGCTGTTCTCACCAATACCGTACAAGGTACGGTATTGGGACATCTCTTATTCGATATTTACTTGAATTACTTGTTCAGGGCCAATTCAGACGGTATCATTATCAGTTTTGTTGATGATTCAGCTGTAACACATCAAGATGAAAGAATTAATAGACAAGGTTGAGATACATTTCGTAAAAATTGTTAATCGGTTCAAAAGTAAGTTGCTGATTATCAGTACTAAAAAAAATCAATTTGTACCATTTACTCACTTCAGCAACAATTCGCCAAAAACACTCAGTTGAAAATTCATAACGATATTGATTCGACAACTTCAATTATGAAAAAAAATTAGGTTGGCATAATAGTGGACAAAAATCTGAGGTGAAATAAGCATAAAGAATATGTTTCAAATGAAATGAAATCCCTCTAAAAAAAATCAAGTCTTTCGAAAACATTTTTGGCATAGTTCAATAAAAAACATCATATTTCAGTATACCGTACAGTCCCATATTAACTATGAAATAATCGTGTGTGGGAGGTATTACCGGTCATCAACGTCACGTAAAAATGGCTCAACAAAATTATTTTCTATGGGTATCACATCAATTCTTCTGAATAATTCCCAGAGAATCAACATTTTCACATGCATACATATGTATTTCCTGAGCCTTGTATTATATCGAAGATAGCATGAAACAAAATCATTATCTGTAGACGATCTGCACGAAACAAGATTTATGCAAAAAACTTCAAGAATTCCTAGAGTAACTACATCACGAAGTCAGAGATTTCTCTCATACGTGTGTCATATTATCTATGCAGACATTTCGTTTGGAATAAAGTCCATTATAAGTATGAACAGATTTAAAAGTAACTAAAAATTTTCCTAATCGCTATAACAATAGATGTGATCAGGATGCCTGGCAGATGAAAAATATCAACATTAATATTCTTTACCCCTGTGATTATTGTTTGGGTACTGAAATATTCATAAAAATATGTAATTGGAATACACATGAAAAAAATGCAATTCGGCTTTAATATATTGAAGAATTTTAGCTAGTTATGGCAATATATTACTAAAGATCTTAAATTATAAATTTCAATAATGAATGTTTCAATATAAATCCCACTATCATCAGGAAATTCATTATTCAATTGGGTTTTTGATGTGTAAATTGTGTTCTGAGTAGATTTTGACTGACCCGCGAAACAGAGCAAATATACGCGGACTAATTGCACAAAGGAATGCAAACTTTCATCATAAAATATCAAAATATAATGAAATTACTGATACCTGATAGAGAGCCGTTTTGCGATTTTGCTGTTTTTGCAGGAGTCACTTTCACTTCCTAAATTATAACAATTAGACATATTTCAGTTTTGATTATTTCAGTGAAACACAGTTTAAATATACTATGGTAAACACAACTCTATATTCTACAGGTTTCCGAGGAAAGTGTGGCGAGAGAGATAGAGTTACGCCAAACTAGTGGAAATAGAATCGCACAGTTGCTTGCGCATGGCGATCCGTCTCCACGGCATGCGTCGCCATGCCAACAATCGGTTTCACGTACGGCTATAGATATCTCACATCGATAATGTTACTACAATCAAAAAGAGCTAGAACAATTCAAACGTGTCCACAAATAAGAATGTTAATAGTGAATAATCACAAGCAGAAGCAATAATTTATATTCAATTCAACATGTACAGAGTGGGCCAAATCGGATACTTTTAAAGGGAAACTCCTGTTTCCAAACTAGATAGATGAAAACTGATGGCTGGTGGTAAAATTTTATGAAAAACTCAACAGTGAAAACCACATATCGCTATCAATCATCATTTATGAGTTACAGCATATTTTACGGAAATGTGCATTTTCAAAAAGTTGCTGTAACTTTTTTCCTGTCAAAAATATCGTATTTCTATGAAAACATTTCCGAAGCACTTTTTAACGTAGAATTCGATGGCGTAAATAACTCAATTTTTTTAAATAAGATATCAATAGTTATTGATGGAAAACTATTTTAATGACACCCTGAATATTACTGCATATTTTGATAGATATTTTCAAAAATGTAGCATGTTTGGCTAGAGTAATTTTTAAAATAGAGAGCTTTAAGATTTTTTCATGTAGACTTTGAAACGCACACTTTGATCAATCAAGTAGGCTTTGGACGACGCGGCGATAAAACAAAAAAAATTGTTCAGTAGTAGCTATCAAATGTTGGGAAAAATTTTCACAGCAGTAATTAAAACGCATAGTTTTAATACAACTGATTACAATTTATACTATATTCACTACCAATAAATGAAACTTCAAGAATAATAATAATGATAAAGACCAAACAATGAAAAATATTTCTTTAGAGAAGGTGTTCGAAATGTCTACCAGCTTCTCTCACACACAAGCGACACCTTTTCTGAACATTTTCTGTCGAATAGACGTGAGAAGAGCGAAATTTGCATCACTCCCGCTTCCATTTCGTATCTAGAATTGTTCGGCAATTTGAAAATAAGATCTTCTAACCTTGGTTTCCATTGGCTTCAGGTTCAGTGACCTGGCTGGCAAACGGTTGGTCCTTGTTTGGTTATCCAATTATTACCAAAATTTGCAACGAAAAAAATGGTGACAATCGTAGTGTTGTGAGGCAAAGACTTGTCTTGTTGAAAATATATTTTTCTCAGCTCCATTAGTGGCAATTCATTAACAACAACATTCATTGTGAATGTGTTTGAGAATAGAACAAAAACTACTAATTGAAGAGCGTCTTTACTGCTCAAATCAAAATTTGACAGCTACCAATAGCGACCTGCAATTTGTTTTTTCGCTGCATCGCCCAAATCTTACTTGATCAAAGTGTGCGTTTCAGAGTATACATAAGAAAACCTCTGTATTTCTTAGATGACTCTAGCAATATATGGAGTGTGCTACATTTTTGTAAAGGTAGTTTTAGCTCTATTAAAATATGCAGGAATGTACAGGGTTTTCCATTAATATCTATTTAAATCTAATTTGAAAATATAAGTTTTTCACACCATCGAAT